TGTCATTGCTGTTACTGGTATCAATTAAGTCGGGTTTCTCTCTTATTTACTTGATAAGCCCTGTGGGTAGTTAGCAATTTTATTCTTCGAAAATGAAAAACAAGTTTTCACTTTGTTAAATTTCTCTTTAGTATGTTTGCTTTCTATTTGTTAAACTGATTTCTGCTTTTATTTTTATTATTTACATTTTTTGTATTTAATGTACTGTTCCTTTTTCCAGCTTCTTGAGATGGAAACATACATGTTGATTATCAGCCTTTTTTCTCTTCTAAAATAAGAATTTAAGACTATAAACATGTCTCAAAGGAACATTACTTTCATGGCATTCCAAAAGTTTTGATATGCTGTGTCATGCTGTATTTAGCACATATGGATTTCTTCTTTAACTCATGCATTATTGAACAGTATATTGCTTAATTTCCAAAAGTTGGAAATTGTATAGTTATCCATGCTATTATTTCATAGTTTAATTTGGTAGTGGCGAGGCCTATTCTCTGGATTATTCAATTATTTGAAATTAAGATTGGCTTTTGGTACATATTCAGTATGCATTTAAAGATAATGTATATTTTATCATAATTGTATACACTGTTTGATTTATGCCAATAAGTCATTTGTCATGTTGTTAAGATTTTCTATATTCTCACCATTTGTTGTTTGTTTATCACCTATGAATAATGGTGCATTAAACTCTCTCACATGCTTTTGGAATTGTTTATTTCACTTTTTACTTTTGCCAACTTTTGTTTCTATCTACAATAAACTACATATGTTATGTCACTGGAAATTTATAATTATATATGTTGGTGCTGGTGTAACTTTTTATCAGTACAAAATATCTTTTTCTCTAGAAATTCTTCTAGTCTTGAAATATAGTTTGCCTTACATTAATGTAGTACTCAGCATCCTTTTGAATAGTGTTTTTATGGTATATCTTCTCACACCTTTTTACAGTCACTCTTTCTGTGTCCTTTTATTTAAGGTGTATCTCTAGTAAGTAGCACAGTTAGGTTTTTTTTTTTTTTTTTTTTTTTTTTTTTTTTTTTTCCTTTTTCCGTGTCTGGCAGCGGATCGCAACCCTCAGTGTTGCCCCCGTACCGGACCGGGGACCGGCAATGGGATCGCAAGCCTCGGTGTTGCTCCCGCGCCTCGCTCAGCCAGTGAGCGGGAGCCGGTCGGTATGTGGGATCCGAACCCTCAGACGGGAGCGCTGCCGCGCTTCCCAAGCGGCGCACCATCCAGTGCGCCACCGGGCCGGCCCCAGCACAGTTAGGTTTTATTTTTTAATATTTTAGTCAGAATATTTAATCCTTTTATATTTAATATAGTAGTGATTGGTGTTGATAGGTATTATCATACTATTTGTTTTCTATATAACCCACCTGTTTTATATTTGTATGTCCTTTCTTACCTTCTTTAGAATCAATAAATTATTTTTTACTAATCTAGTTCGACTCTATTATTTTGTTATACATTTTTTTCTTCATCTTTTGTGGTTACCATAGTTATTAAAACATGCCTCCTTGACTATAAACTATTTCTTCACTGGCAAGAAAATGCAAAGATCTTGTAATGATTTGACTGAACTTGTCCCACTCCCCCTTTTTGTGTTACTACTAAAATACATTTTAATTCTATATATATTGTAAAGCCCCCAAGCCATTAGTATTATTGTTACTTAACATCAATATTCATTTACATTTAGTCATATACTTACCCTTTCCCTATTCATTCCTTTTTTAATTTTTTTTTTTCCTCTGAGGTCATTTTCCTTCTGTCTGAAGAACTCTCTAATTTTTTTTTTTTTTTTTTTTTTTTAGTTTAACTCTACTAGCAACAGTTTTTCTCAATGTTTGTGTTACTATATTTTTAAAGGATGTTTCTCTGGGAATAGGATCTCCTTGTAGCATTTGCAGTATCATTTCATTGTCTTCTGGTTTTATTGTTTCTTTTAAGAAGTTACTGTCAATGCTGCTCCTCTTTTATGGCAATGTTTCTATTATCTTTATGGTACTGTCAAACTGTGGTCTCTCTCTTAAGACAATGTTTCTGTTATTTTGATGGCTATTATAGTTTTATTTCTGTTCTGGGATTTAAGCAGCTTTACTCTGGTGTGCCTAGGTATAGTTTTGGTTGCAGATAACCTTCTCTTTTGGTTTGCAAAACTTCTGAACTCTATGGTTGATGTTTTCCATCATTTTTTGAAACTTTGTGGCCATTATGTATTCAAATAACACTGCCAGTCCATTCTTTCTCTGCTCTTCTTATGAAACCCAGTTATATGCACATTTTATCTTTTCACTATGGCTTCTGTTTCCTTTTTTTTTTTTTTTTGGTATTTTCATTTTTTTCTGTTCTTCAGTTTGCATGATTTCATTAATTCATTTTGCAGTTCATTATCTTCTTTTCTGCCATGTCTAGTCTCCTCTTATACCCATCTTGGAGTTCTTAATTGAAATTATTTTATTTTTCAGTCCAAAATTTATCTTTACACCTTCCAATTTGCTGGTGAAAATTCTCAATTTTTATCTATTTTCTCTATTTTTTCCTTTCTTTTTTACTTAAAAGTTCTTGCCTGTTAGTTTCCAATGCATTTATCATGTGTTATTCTTTTTCTTTTTTTCCTTCATTTTTTAATCCTGTGTTTCAAATTCACGTAGTCTTGTCTTTTGGTTTATCTAGTAATTTATAATTAAATGTTTGTCATTCATAAATTTTTTGCTACTGTAGCGTCTCCATGTGATATAATCTTCCTGCAGAGAGGGTTCATCTTTTTTTTTTTTCCCCTGTGAGGTAGATAGACTGAGGGCTTTATTTACCCTGGGACTGAGCTAAGTCAAGACTGCTGCTGCTTTGGGTTAATTTTTTTTTCTTCTATTTCTGGTTTGCTTCTGTTTGGTGTATCCATGTACTACTTCCATACTAGAGCTTAGTTTATTCACTTGGGTTGTTCTTTATGGTAGGCCATGAAATTATATTTTTGTCTACTCAATTTGACAGGAGTGCCAAACTATCCCATTTTTCAAAGCTGTTGAGTTTCTTAGCTCTCACCTGTGCAAACTTGGAAATTGGCAAATATCCTTTGAGGAAACTTTTCAGGGCCGTTCTCCCTCTTTCTTCTCATTAGGATTTTAGCCCCATAGAACTCAAAACCTCTGCTTTTCTTTTCTTTCTTTTTTTTTTTCTGTCCCCAAGTTCATTCTGCTACATGAGGAAAGCCTGGATTCTTATCCTGAGGCCAGAATTGGCAGATATCCTCAGAAAACAAACAAACAAAAAACTACATCAGTCTACGAGCTTACTGCTCTTAAGTTTTGTTCATCCAAAATCTTCAATGTCCTTAGTCCTCTTCCTTCCGCAGTTCCCCTAATGCACTTAAACAAGTTGTTTTAGTCTGTTCGGGCTGCTGTAACAAAATAATATAGACTCTGTAGCTTATAAACCACAGAAATTTATTTCTCACAGTTTTGGAAATTGGTAAGTCCAAGATCAAGACAAAAGGTTTCTGGCTTATAGATGGTGTCTTTTTACTGTGTCCTCACATGGTGGAAGGGGCAAATGAGCTCCCTTGGGTTTATTCTCTAAGGGCACTAATTCCATTCATAAGGGCTCTGTCCTCATGATATAATCCCCTCCCAAAGGCATCATCTTCTAATATCATCCCCTGGGTGGTTAATATTTAAACGTAAGTTTGAGGTGGGGGAATAACAAACATTCAGGCAATAGCACACATGTGTTTTTTTTTAATTAATAAACTTCACTTTTTAGAGTAATTTTAGGTTTACAGAAGAATTGATTAGAAAGTGCAGAGAGTTTATATACATTTTTAAAAAAATCTCTTTTTATTGTTCTCAACAGGAATGTTTTGTCTATTGCAAGGTATTTCATCATACCAGTCATTGGAATTACATCTGAAGCAATACTTCTTGAAGTGATAAATATATTAAAAAGGAAACATTTAAAAGCTATATAGAAGTTCTCCAAGTTGTAATAATATACTCATATACTTAAATAAAATACTGGGAAAATATTTTCAGCAAACATAAAAAGGGTGAATATCTATATTATACAAAGAGCTCATAGAAGTTAATAATTAAAATATTAATACCTCAATAGCTATGTAAGTAGTTGATAAAAAGTGTTAATGAAGTAAATTTAATAAATACTCAAGAATTTGGTAAAATGATTAATTTATAAAAATGAAAATAAAAGTAAGCATTTTTTTGCATATTAAATCAGCTCTGATAGCTGCTAGATATGACTTCCTTGGTATTGGACCCTGATTCTTTTATTTTTTTTATTTTTATTTTTTTCCTTTTTGTCTTTTTTCATGTCTGGCAACGGATCGCAACCCTCAGTGTCGCACCCGTACCGGGCCGGGACCGGCAACGGGATCGCGACCCTCGGTGTTGCGCCCGCACCTCGCCCAGCCAGTGAGCGGGAACCGGTCTGTATGTGGGATCTGAACCCTCGGCGGGAGCGCCGCCGCACTTCCCAAGCGGCGCACTATCCAGTGCGCCACCGGGCCGGCCCCTGGACCCTGATTCTTAATGCTAGCTGTTAGCTGGATATTGCTTTAAATTGGAAAACAATGTCTTCAAATCCTGGTGCTACTATCTGTTTTACCACAAAAATTACCACCATCTTGAAATTGCTGCTGCTCCACTCCAGTCTACCAGCTTATACTTTGACATCATTGTCAGAACAAATCATGTCTGAGCTTGCTATATCCTCTTCAAACATGATTTGGTTTGCTCACCACCCTCCTTGGTGTTCAGTCTAATCAAATGAATTCCTTATGCTTTCCCTCCCCATTCCTGACTTTCTTCTCTCTACATACCAAAATCCTATCATTACTAATATTGAAGCATATATGGGTTACTATAATATTTACTGTATATATGGTAGTGGTAAAATCGGCAATTTCAAGACTGTTAGTGCCAGAGCAAACTAGTGAACTACATTAGGAAAGCAGAATAATATAATGAAAATAACTATACTTTCAAAAATAAGAGAATAGTTAGGGAAATTATTTATTACTTCATATATTTTAATAAACACAACATCTATTACACATACTATTTTAAGTGACATACAAAAATATTTAGAAAATCATGGGTAAAATAAAGACATAAAAATCAAAAAGAAAAAAGGTGTAGGGAAAATAAAATCAGAGGTAAGGTTAGTACAAAAACCATGCATGGGATATTCAGTTACAGGGTTTTGGAGATACACTGGCCTCTGCTTCTCAATCTTCTTGCTGGCCAAAAGAAAAGAGAAGCACAATCAATTATAATACCCACAAGTTTCTGAAAGGTAAAACAAACCAATTGATTAGGATCAATCTGAGACTTGAGATTAATTTTCTGCCATAGGTAAGTTCCTTCCCAACTAGATGAAATAATTTTCAGAAAAAAAATTTTGAACAAAATCCTTTTTCAAAAGAAGTCTTACACAAATCCCTTCTATCTAAATATGTAAGATATACACGATTTAAATATATTTAAATACTATTTAAGTCAGTAAAATAGATAAAATGGACTTGCTCAGATATAGGGAACTTGGTATGATTTTCTTGGCAAAGAGAGGTCTTAAAAAGAATGCAAAAGTGCAAAGTAGTGGAAAGACCATCAACTTTCAGGTTAGGCAGATGAGTACAGACACAAATTCAATTATTTACTGCATGAGACTAAGCAAATTACTAACCTATTCAAATCTCAGTTTCCACAGCTTATTCCTTCTTTATAAGGTTATGAAGCTTAAATAAATGAGAAAAAGTATGTAAGCACCTGGTACATTGAATATGCTAAAAAAATATTGATTTCCCTCCTTCTCAGCTTTTGGTGATTTGTATTTCCAACATCTTCTTAAGTTGATTTTGTTATTATAATATGTTTATATATTAATTTATAGATAAGAGCCTTTTGTAGATCAGGGTCTATTAAATAATTAATTAATGATTAGGGTCCTAGTATTTGTGTCAGGTGCTCTGCCAGGAGCTGTACTACATGCTAGTATAAAATTATGATTATTATTTGTAGTTATATTCTTTCATACATAACGTGAAGGACTTGCATCTTTTTTTATTGACTTGTGTTTTCAGCAGTTTATCTCTTTTAATGGTCTTTTGAAGAGCCAGCATTCAAATTTACTTATCATTCAACTGGGTTTTTTTCTCATTTATAAATTATTAATCTACAATTTTATCTTTATTAATTCTCCCCTGCTTTTCTTATATTCATTTAAGAGAATTATTTCTAGCCTCTTGACTTGCATGATTAATTCATTTATTTTCAATCTTTCTTGTTTAAAATAATTTAAGCATTAAATTTTCTTCTGAATATACATTTGGCAGCATCCCACTAGTTTTAAGCCCTCTGTAATTATAATTTTGATTTCATATGTTTATCTAAGTGTAGAGAATTTTTCCTTTTAGAGTAGCCAAAACTACTGGTTGCCCCAGGACCTCAATAACTATTATCCCCTTCTTATACAGTAATATATTTTTAGCTGAGCACATGACCACCAACCTACAGGGTACTGTTGCCCAGCCTCTCTTGTAGCTCGGTGTTGCTGTGTAACTAGGTTCCAGGAGGAGATGTAAGTGAAAGTGATGAAATGAGTAATGCAAACTCTTACTCTGAAAGGAAAAATGTGTGTCTTCCTCTTCTTAATGCCTGAAATGCAGACATGAAGGAGAGAGGAGCTGGAAAGCTACCTTGAACTCCAAGGTGGGAATGGCAGGTTGAGTTGTGTGGAATAAGCAAATAGAAGCAGCCTGGGTCCCCGACACCAAGGAGCTGCCCTATCTACCCCGATGGTTTATGAAAGAATTGTTTGTAAGAGAGAAACAAACATCTATCATGTTTAAGAACTTTATTTTGAGGCCCTGCATCAGCAGAAGTAATGATATCATAAATAACCAAGTTAATAATTTTTAGTTTCATTGCATTATTATCAGAAAATACAGAATGTATAATTTCTGCCCAGAAATATGTTAGGATATTTTTAGTTGCCTAATGGATGATACAGTTTTGTTCTTATATTGTTTGTTAGTTTTTAAAGTTATATAACTGTGTGTGTATAAGTTTTGTATGTATTTATACATTATTCAATCCATCCAATCAGATTACTTTCCATATTGTGCTCTATAAAACACTGATGCTATTGAATATTAATAGGTTCACCTCATAATAAAAAGTTTAATAGTTCATATATGCTCTGCTTCCTGTTTTTATTGTAGTGGTTAATAACAAAGAGTCTGCACCACATTGTCAAATCCTAGCTCCTCCATTTACAGGCTTTGTGAATTTGGGCAAGTTATTTAATCTTACTTTTCCTCAGTTTCCATGTCAGTAAAATAGGGAAAATAATAGTATCTACCTCATAGGATTGTTAGGATGATTGTAAAATGTATGTATGTTAAGCACTTAGAATAGTACCTGGCAGAAAGTAAGCATATTTTAAAATAGCTACATATTGATACATTGAATGTAAGAAGCTCTGAGAAGTAATGAAGGAATGGAATCTGCTTAATATTACTTATCCTATCATTTATCAAACTTATTTGAATGGGTATACTTTGGTCATGGCTACTCAGAGGCTAAAAAATCTTTTCCATGGGATATTGGTTTTGGAAATGCTTAACTAGATTATTCAGACTCACTGCATATTGGGAATTCCTCACCTTAAGATGGGATACATGAATGCTATTTAGGTCTTTGAACCTATTGAAAGTGATGTGAGTTCTGAGTGTATAAGCCTGTGGACATATTTCTAAGGAAAAGATCCATGGAGCTTATTTGATTCTCAAATTTCTCCATATGTACTTTTATGCTTAACTGAAATGTCAGAGACTAAAAATAATATGTCTTCTACTGTTTTATTCTTTTTTGTTGTTGTTTCTGGTTGATCTTCTCAAGTTCATCCTGTACATAATCATTAGGCTTTTTGGAGTGTCTATGGATTTTCTTTCTTTTACCATAATTTTTAATTTCTTATAATTATTTCTTGTTTTAAGTCATTCTCTTACTATTTAATCTGAACATTTTCTTTCAACATAGCTTTCTCCTTCCGTTTTATAAAATTCGATGCTTTCTTGCATACATTTGTGAATCCTAATTGTTTTCTAATATTTCCTTCTGGTTCCTGTAGCAAATTGTTTTCAGAAACAAACTTTTCTGCTAGGTTATACAGATGCTGTTTACTTTCCATTGTTTTGTATCGTTATTTCACATACTTAGGTTTGACTTTATTTTTATCATTCTTAAACAAGACAATATCTAACCACATTTCAAGTGTGTCAGTTTAGATGAGAAGCAAATTTTTTTGTCCAAGCATATTTTCCAACAGTGATTTTGAATAACCTGTTCAGATATAAATTTGGTGGGGAGGATGATACATATATATTTCCCATACATTTCACAATTTCTATAGGTTTTACCTAGTCCTCTCTTCATTTAAGAACATCTTTTTATACCAGTGATTGATACTCTGACACTCCAAAATAAGGCAAATGTCTTTGCATAATATATAATTAATCAGAATACATAGTTACCAGAGTTTTTCTGAATTTCCACCAATTTCTTCTAGGATTTAACGATAGATTTTATATCTCTGAGAACCACTGTGTCATCTCCAGGATCCTCCTCCTATTCATTCTGAGTTTTGGAAAGGTGTAGGTGGGATGTAGTAAATGAAACAATATTTAGACCAATTCAAGTAGTAGTAGTTGAGCGGTAGAAAATGGCTAGTGCCTTTCTTCTAGATGAAATAGTCTCTAAGGGAGGATTTCAGGATGTTTCAAGGAATGAATCCTTCAGCCAGGCATGCCTTGGTTCTCAAATCAGTAGCTCCAAGTTACCACAGTATAAAACAACAAATGCCCCCCTTCCCCCAAAAATATTCTGTTTCTCTTCCTGTATTCAAAACTTCAGTTGATGTCACCAACTTTCTTCAAGTGCTCTCCACTGAAAACTTGGAAAGTATCATGAGAAGTCACAGGGTATAGTGTGAAGCGCTAGATATTTATAAGCAGATTGTCTGGTTTCTAAACCCAGATCTGAGTATTCAATTTGTCTGAATCTTCATTCTCCATGTTGTAATCATATCTTCCCTACCAGTGCCAAATGATTTTCAGGATGATTAAATAGGAATATAAAATATTTTGAAATTACAAACTTTAAAAAACACATATCAAAAATTTGCAGGATGCAGCTAAAGGAGTGGTTAAAGGGAAATTAAAGCATCAAATGCTTTTAAAAGCATTTTCTTTTAAAAAGAAAGGTCTCAAATTAATGTTATAAGTGTCTATCTTAAGAATATATACCCCCCCCAAAAGTTATAACTTAAATTCAAAGCAAGCAGAAGAAAGGAAATAATAAAGAGCGAGAACCAGTGAAATAGAAAACAAAAACCAACAGAGGAAAACCAATGAAACTGAAAGCTGACTCTTTGATATGAGCAATAAAATTAATAAATCCCTTGCCAGACTGGTCAAGAAAAAAATAGAAGACACAAATTACCAATGTCAGAAATGAAAGAAAGGATATCACCACAAATACCATAGATATTAAAGGAATATGAAGAGTATATTATAACAACTATTGCCAATAATTTTGATGACTTTGATGAAATAGATAAAATCCTTGAAAAACAAAAACCCTCAAAGCTTACTGAAGAGGAAATAGATAACCTAAATAGCTCTATACCTATCAAAGAATTGAATTCATTGCCTCACTAGTGAATTCTACCAAATAGTCAAGGAAGAAATAATAGCAATTCTCCACAAACTCTTCGATAAAACAGATAAGGCAGGAAGAAATTTCAACTCAGTTTATTAGGGTGACATTACCCTGATACCCTTACCAGACAATGACAGTAAAAGAAAGAAAATTTCAGACAATATTACTTATTAATATAGGTATAAAAACTGTAACAAATACTAATTACTAATATCTTTACTTATTTTAGATGTTTTAACATCTATTTGACTGCACAGTATTTTTATTTCAATCTCTGCAACTTCACCTATCTCTTGCTTTCCATTCATTCTGTTCTCCTAGTTCAGAATCTTAATACCTACCATCCCATTATAGTAATAACTTTCCAACTTGTCTCCATGTCTTCACTCTATTCTTTTCAATGCCTTCCATCAGTTTCCTTCCTCAACCCAATATCTCATTGTGTTACTCAAAGGTTTGAGTGTTCAAAGATTTTTAATAGTTTTACAGGTTTATTTAATACAATTAATACCCCTGA